GTATACAGTATGAAGTTGTTTTATCTACTTTAATTTAGAAATTCAATCTGAAGTAGGGGTGAAACTTCAGATACAATACGTGACACATGGCCCAAGATAAAAATATAATCACACGGGAGAGCAATTCAGAAATAATTGATATATTGAAAGACAACTACAAATTATGATGAGGTCGTATTAACTGAAGAATTTAAAAAAAGCCCCTTAAAATGTAAAGTGGACGAAGAATTATCAATTGCAATCTGGTGTCAGTTTTGGCGTCAGCTCATATCAGGATTTATCCTTTGACTTCTTTTTCACCACTGTCGTCGTCTTCTCCTTTTGTTTGTTGTTCTGGAGGTCTAGTGCATCTTTATTACCGGTATGTGGTGTCAATAAAGTATTTTAGTCCCTGCCTGGGCTCGGATAGTACAAACGCTAAGCAGAAATGTTTTGTAACACAACGGAGGGCATGGACTGACAGATCAGGCATGAAGGGTCAAAACGATTGATATTTCGGTTGCATTGATTTCAAATCTTGTATTTATTTAAATTGATATTAGCTTTTACATGTTTACATAGTTTACTTCTCCTTTTGCTCTAATCATTTTATTGTGTTTAAACATTGTATCTGTTATTTAATGCTAAACAAACAAAGTTATTATTATGGTAAATGAGCTCGACCCACAGAAGGATTTAACAGCCCCGCTATTGCTTTGCTTTGGACCAAACATTTTGGAAAGTTAGTTGTTGCAGTGCCAAGTATTTTATAAGCATTACAACATTATTCTGCGTACAAGCTTTTGTTGAGTTTGACATCTAACCCTAACCCTACTGGGGAAGAAAACAGGCTCACAGATTCCTTCTTGTTGAACATTTTTTTTACAATTCGTGTGGATCTGGCACACATTGGCTCACTAGCCGCTAACAATGCATTTAGTTCAGTTCAAATTATCTCTCCAATGTATTTCAGCCCAACTGAGCCCTATAGAAAATTACTGTTGTGGAACTAATAATTGACTAAAGGAAGATAAATAAGTACACTATCACAACTAATGGCCGTTGATGAACAGCAGATTGATAATGTTTTTTTGCCAAGCGCTGTTAGTCTTATTTCAGTTGGACAGGTACACTGCTACACATACACAAGAGCATGGAAAAAGTTGTTCAAGCCAAATGATTAACTGATTCATTTACATATATTCACCTTCAATTGTTTACATCCCCAACTCTGACTTATAAAGTTTCTTGAGCAAAAAAAGCATCTTACCTTATAACAGTCACCACACTAATACTTAATGGCTTTGGGATTTCATTTTCTTCATCTTCCTCCTCCTTCAAGATAATGTAAATAAAAACTTAAGTGAACAGAAATAATGGTGTATTTTCCATAAACAACCCTTTTTTTTCCCAACATCAAACAAGATAATTTAGGTAATATAAGACGCAGGCCTCCATATTCTGTAGTTGCCCTAAATCATTAGCTGCAAAGTGTTTTCGCAGAAAGACCTCAAGAACAATGCTGTAGTGTTCTCAGTTTGTCCCCACATGAATAACGCTACGTTTTTTAATCCCATGTTGAAACAATGTCATTTGGTGCCCACCTGTACTGATAGGCCTCACTCTGGACTGAAACTCAATTTACAGGGCGTTTGTCCGATTATCAACACAAGACTCAACATGAATATAAATATTGTTTATTACATGCAGTTATCTTATTTGTGCTTTACATTTAGAAGAGAGGAGCCCAGGCTGTTAGCAACAGCCTAGCCGCAAATGCAGCTTCATACTGGGCTTCTCAGGTGTAACAAACAAGCACCTGTGTCTTATATTGTCTGGAAAAATATCAAAGAAAGATATTTTTCTTTCCCATCATTATAAAAATACTTACTTCTGATTTATTGAACAAAATCTGAAAATTGTTCAGTAGTCCTTTGCTGAGCACTGAAGTGGTAAATTTGAGCCGCAGGGTGGGCGTGTCCTTGAACTTTGTGTAGCCTACCGGCTTGCCTGTAGCAGGGATCCAATTAGAAATCTGAAGCTTTATGACATCACAGTGGCTGTGTCCTAATGACATCACACTGAGTACATAGTACATTCCAAAATCATAGAATGTTATTTTGTGTATTTATATGCAAAACGTCTGGATTTATTCTAGATTGGCAAGAAAAGTATAATACGGGAGCACACTTTCATACCTGAAATACATTATGGCTCTCAGGCTATCCAATTGCAAAGCTCGCTAGCCAGCCACCTAATGGCACACAATTTAAATTAACTGTAGCCTACTATGTTTTAGGCTATATGTCGTGAAATAATAGTAAAATGACTATAGCTGTATTAACCATGAATAGATGTATATTACTATTGAATACGTATTTAGAGGCCGACATTTGCGTTAGTTCGATGCTTGCTTATCCAAAGTGGCTGGGATCAGAAATACGTCACATGACCTGCAGTTAAGTATTTTGATAAAGGCAAAAGTATATACTATGCAGTAGTAGGCATACTGTTTGATTATGAAGTATGGACTGTATGTCAGTATGTGGCTCCAGACACAATCATTCAGAGCATCCAGCAGACTGAGTGTTTTTTACAAACCTGATTACTTTTACATGTGTTTACCTTGACAACAGTTACCATGAAAAATTGATCATTGTCATAATGTTTTAGTGTGAGGAAATACACCTTGGCCATTGGATTACAGTTAAAGCAACTATTACAAAACATGATGACCAAGAAAATGTGAAAGGATTAATTCCATTGACCCACAGCCTTGATTTAAAGTTTTCATTTCTATACTCTGATGGAATCATTAAATTCTTACTTTATAGAAGCAGATAAAAACCACATGTTCATCATTTAATTAGCCAACATTTCAATTGACAGTTTATAAAAGTTTTCAGAAAAATTGTATTAAAATATTTAATATATAAAAATATTTAAAACAGGGAATGCTCATTTTAATGAGCTTAAAACTCAAATTTGACATTTGGCACTTTTATTTATAACATAAATACATCAAAATATATCAGGGCCAAAGACTGGCTTTGACATACATTGACATACATTTTCACTCTTTTTTTTTACACATAGGATGAAATGCAATTGCTTCATTATTAGCACTTTACATTTTATGACAAATATCTTTAAGTAAATACAGTGAAGGGTTAAGGCTCCATGTGAATAATTTCAACGTGGCAAATGAAGAGGTTAATGGTAAACATGGTCATAACAGACATTGCTGTAAACATGTTGAAATTAAGATCTGCTGCAGTCTTGTTACCCTGCAGTGATTTACCCTGTCAATGCTTTGAACAATACACCTCTCATAAGTCTGAATATGCAGCCTGCACATTTAAACCAAAAAAATTAAAACTGCTGTTTATAGAAGAAGCTGCCATTCTTGTAAATGCTTACATAAACTTCACAGATCCTGTCAAAAACAATCCAGTTCAACATCTTCTTGTGATAAAAATGGGTATCTTGAGATTTATTTAAATGTAGAAGGCTATCTAACATAAAGCAGATGTTTGCAGGTTTTGCCTTGACCAATGAAAACATCTGCATTTACAGAAATCACTCATAGATTCAATGTTGCTGATAACAAAGTGGGCCTGAAGCAGGTTTAGAGTCATTGTTTTGCAACCGGAACATCGCTGACTGACACAATTTGCTCTCAGGAAGTGTTGCTTCTTTTTCTGGTCCTCTGTCTCCTCTTCAGGATTTCTTCTTCTTCTCTGTCGCTTTCACAATCCCTCTGAAAAAAAAAAAAGACGTTTAAGTTCACGAACAGCTTTTGCCTGTGTGGTTACTGGTGATGACAGTGCCAGGCGCACCTCAAATTATAAGAAAAAAGAAGGGTTTAGAACAACAGCACTCCAAAAATACCAGCTTAAAATCATAATGTGATCCATTCAGTACAGTATAGAGGTCAGAATGCATGATAGCTGATGCATCCTTTCTGCAAGCAAAGACTGCTGAAAACATCTTTTACTTTTTTTTGGGAGGTATTTTGGAAAATATATTTATTTGCTTGAGAAAAAATGATATCACTCTTATTTTTATACAATATGTTAAATATACCGCCAGCTGCTAGTTAGCTTAGCCTAGTATAAAAAAAAAGCCTGGCCTCTAATGAAAGTAACATACGGTAGTCCACTTAACAGAACCTCTAAAGCTAATACATTTCCCACTTTTTTGAAGTAAAAACTTTAATGATAAAAACAAAAATCCAGTGCTTTATGATGGGTTATGTGCTGGAGAGTTTCTTGGCAAATATAATATCCTGAAGTCTCCATCGGATCCCTTGAAACCCCAGAATGACAAGAAATCACTGCTCCTGGCAGTTGTCCGGCATATTCTCTCTAGATTTGACTTAACACTAATCCTAATCAAAAGGAAATTTGGCTGGATTGGAGATTTTATATTTTTCCATAAGCCAGAGCAAGACTAGCTTTTTTTCCCTCAAGGCATAAGAGCAGTTGCAATATGAAAATAGGATATGAAAAACAACTCAAATGTCAAAGTATTGGTTTAAACCCAGACTCAGTTATTGTCGTATGCTTTACAACAGGTGTGTCTTACCTCGTCCGGCTCAGGCAGCTTGTGGCCCTTCCTCATGATCCGCGTTAAGTGGTTGCACAGAGCCACAATTCTGAATGACAGCTGTCGAATGATTGAATTAGAGAGAGAGAGAAAGAGAATTACTAAGAGATCAATCAAGGATAACCTTTGATTTGAACACTTTAAAGAAACTATTACATTATGCTAATCTTGTACTTTACCTTCCACCTGCGTCTGGCATACTGTCTCCGAAAATTCTCCAAGTTGACGACTGACAACCTCTTCACCATGGCCTGTCTGGTATTCAGAGGCTGCAGAGACACAATTAGGGATAACACAGCAGAGGAAGTAGCTTTTATGTCAATATCAAATGTTTAAATATGCAAAAGAAATTGTATTATTAAGACTCTTTATACTGAGGTACTAGAAATATCACATCAGAAACTAGAACGGGAAACAATAAATGATGAACATTTATTTCAGTGTTTAAACAACAGTTATAATTGTGCATTGGTGACTTCCTGTTGCAATGTTAAACACACTGAAAAGGAGCTGACACATTTTAAAATGTGATCTTATCACAGGTTTTGTTTTCCTGTCAGCTTACAGAACATCTCCAAGAAAGAAAGAAAAGCAGCTTTTTTTAAAAAATAAATAAATGTAACCTTTAGCAGAAGTGCACATTCAAGTCTATGACAAATTGTCTGAAGAAAATAGACATCTAACCGTAACTTCACAAATGGATAACCATTACAAAATAGTCTTGTAAAACAGAATGTAATAAAAAAACAAGTGAAACAATAAATAAACATGAAATCATTTAACAGCCCATTACAAAGAAATACTGCTTCATCCAGTCTTTGTCTGACCGGGACACTTTAAATACATTCATTATTTAGACTCAGCTTCAGTACCACCTCAGGATCATTACAGTACATTAATATAAAAGCTTCTTTACCTGCTAAACAAACAACTTCAGTGCATTAAAAACCAGATCATTATTATCTGAAAAGGGACATGTGGAAGATATCACAAGATATACAGTGATGTATATATGTTTTCATAAATTAATAATCACAAGAAAAACAAAAAAGCAGACTCCAGTTGGTTATAACCTGCAACCTTAAAGATAGAGTCCACTTAATCCTGCACACTGGTCCATGAATACGACTTCAATTAAAGAATATTCCTACTATTGTGCAGTAGGTCAAGTTTCTTAAAGAAAAGTAGAAAATACATTTATCTGTCTATTTCTCAGAGTTAGACAAGAAGATCAACACACTCTCATTACTGTCTGAAAATATTAAACTGCAGCCCGGTGGTAGTTAGCTTAGCTTAGGCCTGGACACTGAGAGAAACAGCTGGCCTGTTAAAAGGTGACCAGATGTGTTTACTAGTACCATTAGGTGTGATGACAGTCCTTATGGTTTACTGTTGTTTCAAGTCCTTGTGCCAAGCTAAGCTAACTGTCCGTTGCCCATAGCTTTGATAAGTCATGAAAGTGGTACAGGCTAGTGTTAGCTAATAGGCAGATCTCCTCAAATCCACTTCTTATATTATTATGTAAATAAAGAAAAAAGTAATGAATACACAGCTATACATTCAAAAGTTGGCATTGCTGAACAAAATGTGCTGAACCCAAACACCCAAAAAAATTTCAAGGTAAAACAATTCATCTGTTTTTCTCAGCCAGACTCTGTGAGTGGTTGCTCAGGGCACAGTTCCCTCCCGCAGGACGGATGCAGCAGCTCCTTTAATGCCTGCCTCATGTCTGTATTCAGGCTGGTGCTGCAAATGCTGCCATTGGCTCCACCAGGATGCACAGAGCTCATCACCCCCTGCAGCCACTGCAGCTCAGAGTTCAACTGCTGTCTCAGAGCGTCCAGCTGATTCTGCCTCTGACTGTACTTCCCACTTATGCTGTCCAGACTGGCATCCATTGCCTTCATGTCATCCTGCAGCAGCATCCTCATGGCCTCCACTTTACAGAACTCGTAGCGAACCTGGGACAGCTGCTTCCTCGAGGTCTCGCTCTCCTCATTGTACCAGGCCTCCTTGTAACTGTAGATTGAGCGTAGTGCCTCTATGTCGCCCTGTATGGTGTGTCTGGCTCCTGTTACCTCTGACAGCCCTGTCTTTATCAGACTGACCTCCTCCACTACGCGGGCAAAACGCTCAAAGTTTGCATATGTGTTGTTCTTGGGGACACTGGAGTTGGACTGGATGGTGTACTCCTTTAAACGCCTCGTCTTCAGCTGCTCTCCTTCCTTCTCCGTCACGGGAGCAGCGCTTTCCTCTTCTATGTGGCCGCAGGACTTCAGACAGAAGGGTGGAGGGGAGGACACTGAGTGAGAGGATGTCTCATTGTTGCATCTTGAAAACACACACAGCCGTGAAAATCCCAGCAGATGTGGCAGAGCTGTAGGATTAGTGTGTGACCCTACGGCGAATAAAAAGCCATGGCAGGTAAGAGCGCCAAAAAAAACCAACAAACATTCCTGTTGAGTGTGGGTCCCGGCTTCATGCTTGTGTCCAAACAGGATAAAAAAAAACTCCACAGCAAAAAAACAAAAACACCATTCACATGCATGTGAGCAGCTAATGTTGGAGTAGACATCTTCAACATTGGGAGTTGTTCAAAACATAATCTGTCTTGAAAAATCTTGCTTTAATTCGATGACACAGTGATGCATAAGAAGGCAAAAAAAATAAAAAAACAGCTGTACAAGATGTGTGGAGCAAAGCATCGTGACAGGTCGATGTTTAAAAGAAATATTGCCAAAGTGAGGGTGTGGCGCAATAATGGAAACAATATACAAGTGGGACCAAGTGTGTTTGCAATGATGTAAAAAGTTAGTGGGGTGTTGTCTTGGCACATTAGAAGAAGGATGTTCCTCTGACATGAAGCCATCCCTTTCTGAATGTTGCATTTCACATACACTGTTCAAACATTTTCACGTGTACTTGACAGTAGTTATTAAGAATACAAACGCATGCTCAAATACTTGTAAATTAAGTACATACCTTAATCCAGTGATGATTGAGGGCGTCTTGTATAGTCATTCGTTTTCTACAATGATGAGACAGAGGAAATGCATCTGAGTAAAAACATCCCATCAACTCCATCAGACACACGGCATGGCAGTGAGGGGTCAATGTGAACCTCATGGGAAAACATTCAAACTAGTGTTTACTTTCACAGGAATAGACTGTTTCTTGTGGTTTGTTCAAAGGGAATGACGTGTGCAGAAAACAAAGAAAGAGAAGTAGTTACCCTGCGTGTAGTAATAAGTTTACTGTGTGACATTTCTATGTATCTTTTTATATTTATATTTTATGTACCTAAATCTATATTTTAGATTTTTATGCAGATTGGCCTTTCAAGCTAATTGGATGCATTTAGCCTTTATCGTAGCTAAATCTCTGTTTCTGGGCTTTATGTTGGAATTGTTAGACTTGACCTTTGACCTTTGCTTTTCAGATCTTTTACCTTGTGTCCTTCTCCAGGAGCTCTCTGATGAAGCTCTTGGCTAGCTCGCTTGTGTTGCTAAAGAGCTCCTCGTCAAACTCGTAGTCCACGGCCGAGATGTTACCGAGGGTTTCCTGCTTTGTGTCACCGAGGAACGGTGACGCGCCACTCAATCTGTAACGACATTCGCACACTTACTTAATGACTCTTCAGGGACATTAAAATTCCAACTCATTATTGAGAATCCTCCCAACTTACAGTATATATGTGATGACTCCAATACTCCTATAAAAAAAAAAAAACAGCAAAAGGTTAATCCAATTTATGCTCTGAAGCTTGTTATATGAGAGGCAGTGGAGTCTGAGATAATTGAAGGCTCTTACCACATGTCTGCCTCCAATCCCAGCTGCTCATAGTTGACTATCTCTGGAGCTGAAAATAGAAAGCACACACTCCTGCATCACAAACACTAAGCGACGCTCAGGAACCACACTGTAGACACGTCTGATATAAAAACACTTACCAACAAATTCAGGCGTTCCACAAATGTTTTTGAAATCTTCCCCAGCTTCTATTTTGCGTGCTAGTCCAAAGTCTATGATCTTGATACGAGGTAGAGGAACATTATTGTCCAGCAGCATTATGTTTTCAGGCTGAAGTGATAAAAGAACACAACACAGGCTCTTATTGGTCCGTAGGGTTCCACTAATACCAAGAGTAAGTGGTACATACTCTAAATAATGTTGAGAAAAATAAGTTACCTGGTGAATGCTGACGTATCTGCAAGCATTTAAGAAAAACATTGCAACCTACAGTTAGACCGGTTAGTGTGAAACATTAAAGGAAAATTAAACAACTGCTCTCTTCCCTAGAGTTTTAGGAGCAGATTAATAACACTGTCATGTCTTTACTTTAGCTAATACAGTATGACGCTCCTGCTAGCAAAACACTCATTTACTACAGTTTGTCACATAGACTGTGAACATAAATGAACAGCTGGCCTGGCCTTGCCCAAAACTAAACTAAATCTTCATTAACTCTAAAATTGTAAAAAAGTTCCCTCATTCACATATTTCTTGTTTATTCAATCCTTACTTAAATTTAGAAAAATTAATCTCGATGCTTTTTTTGTGGCAGATTATGTCTTAGGAGGGGAAGGGGGGGGGTCTAAGTTTTGACAGGAAGTTAACATTTCAAATGAAGAACTTGATCTAGTTCAGCACATATCCCTTTATAAACAACGGCTTCTCATTTTGAAACTCATCTGTAATCTTCAAACAGTTTTTTTTTATTTAATAAAACGTGTTGATTCATGAAATAAGAGGGGCTTACAGGTGGATTTTCTTTTTGTTTTAGAAACAGCATCCTAGCAGCAACATTAGTGAATTACCGGCTAGAAGAAGATTTCATTTTAGCATACAGCTGTAAAATTGATATAAATATTCTCATATACTAACTCACTGGAAGCAAATGAGAAAAATATACTCAAATGTCAAAACTGATTTTAAAACAATTAAGGATCATTTTGCAGATGTACTGCAGACTTAACTGTCTTGCCCTGGATCATAATAACCCGATAAAGCCCAAAGGTCACAAGATCTGCAGCTCAGATAGACAGTCACATTACCTTGATTAACCAATCTGAGCAATTTATACAGACAACATTCAACACAAATGAGTGCACAAATCTGTCATTGTAAACTAAGGGTCACGGTCTCAGGCATGTCTGAATTGAGCTCTTCACTGAATGTTCTTGCTCCCTAAATACCAAATAAATAGAGGAAAGAGGAAAAAAACAGGACATTGACTTCCAGAGAGCAGCGTGGGCGACTCTGCTCCCTGAAAGTGAGGTGATAACCTTATGGTGTCTGTCTCTGAGAGTCTGGATCTTTGCCACAGAAAACAGGAAGGATTTGTGATTCAGACTCTACCGGCACGTACATAAGACACCTTCTATATATAACTTACATTGAAGAACTGCTCCAGCTTGCATGTACGTACAGTTCTGGGTACGTCATCCTCATAACAAAACAAACTTAGATCGACATACACAACACGGACGGAGCTATTTGGTACCTTTAGATCAAAATGTATGATTCTTTTGGAGTGGAGGTGCTGGACTCCGTTAAGGATCTGTTTGATAAACTGGGTGGCCTCCTCTTCACTAAGAGACTCCTTCTGAGCCAAGAAATCAAACAGCTCTCCTCCGGACACCCTGTAACACAAACACACACACACACACACACTTAGACGCTCATCCTATGTGCTCAGATTATCAGGAACACGGGCACTATTGAACACTATCTTAAGTGAGTTAAGGATTTGGGTGCACTGGTGTAGGATGCCTTAGATATGTTTGTTTTGCTGTAACACTTTGAGTCTGTTATGAGTCAGTCTGCCCTACTTATGTGTCACGATAGTCCTAAACCCTTTTCACAGCTCATTATCACTGTACACAGGGCGGAAATGTTCCCCTGACATTTGCCTCTATTGGTTGGGAAGCTCAAACGCTATAGGTGTACCGGGAGTGCTAATACTGCCAGCTTCTAGGTTGTAATTCATATAGATTTAATTTAGCTGACAAATAATTGTCAGTTTAGTATTTCTCAATTAATGAGCAAGTGAAATGATAATAAACAAAGTAAAATTCTTTGTGGAAACTTGACTGTTTCTAATTAAATCAATATCCAAACCATTTCGCCAATAACAGTTAGCTAATGTTAGCATTTAAGCTTAAAGGCTTTATCTGCGATTTTTCACACTTAAATATAATGGAAATCAAGTATATCCTCTGAAAATAACTCTGTGAGTCATGACTTTCTACAATGGGTGTAACACCGAGTCCCACTGTCTGTGATGTTTTCCGAGTTTTCCGAGTCCTATCTTCAGTTTGTTTACATCGCCTGGACAGCGGCTGACTCCTCCCCTCGTGTATAAAGTTGTTTAATTGAGGGACTAGAGAAAAGAAGAATAACATACTGTACTCACTGCTTAACTGTGTTTCTAGATCACGCTCATTTCAGGTAAATTTACATGCAGTGTGAAGATACCAGCATAATAAAGATCGCTAGCATTAGCATGCTAACACAACAATGCACCGCAAGTTGTTTTGGTTTCATGCTGGTGCTCAAGGGCGACATCTGCTGGATCAAAAAAATCGCATATAAAGCCTTTAAGCTAGATAATTACTGTTAGCTAGGAAGTAGCCGATAGCTTATCTTACTATTTGTAAATGTCACTACATAGAATAGAAAAACTTGATGTGAATTACATATCTATTTTAATTCAGAGCTTCAGAGAACATAAAATTAGCTAGGAATTACTTAAATGCTAATGCCAGCTGTTCTCTGATAATGGGTAATGAAAGATGTTGCTTTAACCGGAAATGTCGCCAAATGCTCCTCCATATTGTCACTGTCAACTGTCTTTCCAGTTGCTCAGTACACAAGAAGATAACAAATGATAACAATTTTTCAGGTATAGCATCCCGCACCAGTGTAACGTAAGAAGAAAATGGCTGCAGTGATTATAGTGAGTATACATGATGTTCTTTTATATTCACACAAAGAAAACACTATAGGCTGAATAACGCACAGTGTGCCATCCTGAATATAATGGGAACTGTTCTGTCTTTCCCTTTCAACCTGCTGTGAGCTTTCATTTAGAACTAATTGTGCCCTCCATGTTCCCAGGCAGTCTCCGGACCCAGGATGAGGCCCCTTCTCAACACAAGCCTTATTGACTGTGTGATAGACCTTTGATTCTTTGTGGCACACATGACCCTGGCAAAAGGTCTTTTAGCAAACACAGATTCAACAAACTACGTACATAATAATAAACTTGCACATCAAGACATGGACGCAACTTTATCAGCACTGATCTGGAATATTAAAAGTAGATTATGTGTACATTTTACTAAATAAATAAAAAAAACATGTAGATGTTTCAGCAAATAAAGACAATGTTACTTTGCAAAATTAACATTCAATTCTTTGGATGCGATGTTTTCTTCTCAATCATAAAGTGACTTACAATTCAAGGATAAGCACCACATCCAGGCGGTTCTCGAACACGTCATGCAGCTCTACAACGTTGGGGTGCTGTAGCTGCTGCAGGATGACCACCTCCCTCTCAATCTCCTCTCTCTTTACTCCACGTCTGCTGGCTCGACTCTGCCGCTTCTTGATGAACTTTGCCGCGTATTCAACGCCTGTGCTCTTCTCTATACAGCGTTTGACGATTGCAAACTGCCCACTGCAGACACAAAAGAGGAGTTTTCAACTTTTTTTGTCACTGTCATGCATTTTTATATATTTTCTACGTATAGCACCATTCTTTAATGAGGCTCCTCACAATTTACAGCAGGTTACTGCAGGATTTAAAAAAAAAAAAAAGATGTCAGGGAGGAAGTCTTGTTTTGAAACCAGTTTGAGGTAAAGTGACAAGTCCACCACTTCCTGTTTCCCATACAAACAGAGAACAATCAGACAGGCCGGCTGTTTGCACAGAGCTGCTGTCCTCCCACTCAAACTTTCCTGCCAAATTTCAAGCCATCTTTGGCGCATCAATCCACTGAAAAAAATCCCAAAACTCTGAATAGTTCTCAACAGAGGTGTGGCTTGGAGACCATTATTCAGTTGACTATTGTTTGTACTTTTTTCTGGGCTTTTTAATCACATGATTGAGCCTGTGGATAAGTGATTAGGACGTAGATTTATGTATTTAATAAATCTAATTGTGATATAATAATCCAAATTTGACATCTTAAATTACAGGGGGGACTCAGACAAATGTATAATGACAGCTCTCCAAAAGTGAAGCTTAAACTTTTTTGAGCTCCCCAAATGTGTTTTTGGTTAGGAGATGGGACAAAATGTCAAGTAAGTCTACTGGGAAACTCTGTCTTCAAATGATTTTACCAGGCAAATATGTCGGCGCCTGCCACAGGGAAATTCTGGCTTAGCTTTTGTACAACAGGGAAGACCAGAGGAGGAGGTGGAGACACATCATCCTTATATACAGTCAAGCATGTATCTTTGCTCTCCTGCTTCCTGGGGAGGCTCCACAAGTAAACTGTCCCCTAACATAGCTACACTGTCAGTTCTCTCATAATTGACCCACTGAGAGACTGGAAGCAGAGTGTACAAACATTTTCCAGGCACTGTTTTGCTTAGTTAGATGTGTTCGGTCTCCATGGCATTATTATCAGACTAGCACTTGTTATATCGCAGACCTGACTAAGCCTCGCTGCTTTAGACACTTCCTGCTGCTGTGTGCTGACCTGCTTACTCTTTACATTCACAATCGTGAAACAATCCACTTAGTCAGTGATCCCTCATTAACGGGCCACAGAGAGAGTCGAGGGCGTGCGCATTGGCAGAGCTGACAAGGAGTCTCTGAGTGGGGAAAGATGAATGTTATCTTTGACAGAGAGAAGAGGAACATTCAGTCAAGTATGCAAATAGTCGACTCTGTAGATTCTCCAAGGCAACATAGTCACATTGTATTTTTAGACAGTGTGAAGAAGACACAGAAAGGAAAACGATAATAACTGGCAGGCTTTTCATATGTTTGGGACATATCTGTCCACACAGAGATTTCAGGGTGGCTTTGAAAGGTTGTCCAGTCCATGTCCACTATCAACACTGGGTCTAGTGGGCTAAGAATAGTTCCGGCCCACAATCTAGACCTCCACTCCTCTGCCGAGCTGGACAAAGGAGGGAGAGAGAAAGAGGAATGCTGAGAGAAGCTGATGGATGAAGGCTGACACAAAACATATAGATACGTTACACAATACCATAACTATTTCACACAGCAGTTTATGTTTACAAAAAGCCCTTTCCAGCTCATCGCTTATGGATAAAATACAAAGGTAATTTCACTTTTCACTTTAGAGTAACCCTAACTATTTATTTAAACTTTCCTTTTCTGCATTAGTGTGGGATTGTTGAGCCAGTTTGCTCTCTTTGAGGCACACCCTGTCCTCTGCTTACACAGTTCTACAATTACATCACAGAGGAGCTCCGCTGAGACAGTTAGCTGAGTTGCCTCACTCAAAGACAACAAAACTGAGATGACCTCGAATTACTCAAGCCAAAATCTTGACTGATACACGTGTGTGACAAAACGTTTGGTAGAAAACCCAAAGTTATGCAATCAGGTTAAGCAAATTATAGTTTAAATATTAACATTTCAATGACAGCGACCTCTCATACAGCAGGACGTTCTGGTTTCAGGGCACCTGTACTGGACTGCATTATACTGTATTAAACAGGTGTTTCTGATAATAGGGATTTTTTTTTATTGCGTGATTGGTTTTATTCCGAGTTCTTATTAAGCTAGTTTATTTCATATGAGGGTCACAAAATCATGTATCAGTGTGAACATGTTGGGGTTGTGCAGGTAACAACAGTCTTCAAAGAGTCACACATACACTTTGTGCAAAGAAAAAAACAAGGCAGGGTGGGTGGAATCTGAAAAGCTCCTTCTATCTGTTCTAGTCACAGGACATTTCCACCCCTGAGACATCCCTCAAAGGACGACCCTGTTACAGATGAGTAGGATAATGTGTGAATCGAAGAGGAGGGGAAATCACTCAATGAATTCCTCCAGTTTAAACATGCATCAAGTATACCCTGAGGGGAACAACTGTGCCTGTAAAACAAGACTGAACAGAGTTACCCCACCAGGTCAGGGTTGTGGATCGCTAGTGGAAAGTGAACACCACAACTGTCAGTTCAAGGGAATATGCTTTAGTGTTGTTACAAAGTGCAGAAGTAACAGGGGAGAGAGCAGTGATGCTGGGAGTGGTATTCCACAACGGGCCAGGCGTGCTGTCCGTCTTAGCTCTAAGCCGTCCTGCGAGGCCGAAAGTACCATCACCCCCACAGAGTTTCCACTCTCAACAGCTGAAGGTCATTATCCACAGACAAGGTTGGAGGAATGCTCGGACAAGACACAACACATTTCCCCACTGAACAACCTCTGGGAGCGCGTGGAAAGGAAAGCGAAGTGCATAATTGACCAAGCCCAATCCTTACCATCCCTAACATCTGTGTTTCGAATGAGAAAAGCAGCTTCTAAAATGTGGCTCATCTTTGCAGAAAATATAGATTCTCTGTTATTTAAAAAAAACAAAAAAAACACATCATGTGACAGACACTTTTTCTGCTTGGGTAGGCAAAATCGCAACACGTACGCAATTATGAAGTGTTCAGGATACTATTGATTCCCACATGTATGAGTGGAGAAGTAAGGTGTCTGCTAACAGAAACAGGATGCCCTCTGTCAAATGGGAACTCTGGGAATATCCAAAAAGGTCAACATGGAGTTCCCTCTGTGGGGCTGCAGTGAATAAACACATTTTTCACCCGCTGAACAGCAGGAATGTCGGTTCCTCAGGGCCAACTTCACGCGTTCTTGTTCTCACTCCTTGTACATGTATGCCTACTGTCCTGTGCTATAGATACTTCTTGTACAGTAAATCCCTTTGGAGAAATGATAGCACTTTACTGTCTTCATCTTTAGCACCTGTCTGCCCCGCGACTGTCCGCTCTTTTCACTTCAACACTTCCAGAGTGTGAAGGCATGGGGCTTTAAGCGTGTACAGTATCTTTGCTCTCCTGCTTCCTGTCAACAGTCAACCAACTTCTGCAAACTAAAACAAACTCTCTTACTTGTTTCCTTTACACATTTGCATAATATTTCTACAACTGCATCAAGAGACACATTGTTGTGATGTGACCTGTAGTTCCTGTATACGGTTTGGAAATAGGCATTTGAGGTGTGAGGATTCTTTCCACTAAATACTAACATGCTAACATGCTAACCTGCACTGAACGATAACACTAACTTGCTATCTGCTGATTTCTAGCACATCCTGCGTACAATCTTCACCATCATGATCAAGAATGTGCTAAATAACATCAACCACAAGGAACAGGTCTGGCTGATGTTAATGCAGGTTGTAAACCACAAAGGATGTTGACCCAAAAAAAAAGATTTCTCAACAACACATCCTTTTTCTTTGTTGTGCTACATTTAAAAACGCTGGAGGAAAAGTCATAGGATTATAGGAGTTGGAATTATTTTCTGGGGGTAATGAATGTTTTCACAAACTGGCTGCCATCAATCTAGTAACTGTGTTTCAATTATGTTTCAGCCCAACCGATATTCTTGTTCTTGTTTGTCATTTTTGCCATGTAGCTGGTAAGGATCTGAACACCACAAACCCACAACCTTCAAGACGGATTCATAACCAGCGATGACGTAAGCACCGCGTTCAGATTTCAAAACAAGGCGGAAGTTTACAAGCGTTTCATTTTTGCCCGGACTTGTAAAGACAATGGCACTTCCTGTCCATCTGTGTATCCTGTGAAGGTTTGTCATTAATTGATGATGACTCACAAAGATGATGTTTTCTCATTCATAGGCAATGATGCAGCAAAATCGAACAAAGGCAGTAATCAAGTCACAAAAGTTATAGTCCTTATGATTAAAAAATTGGAGAAAAAAAAGACCCTGCTGCTGCTGCTGAAAGGTAGAGGTCGCTTGGTTCACCATCTGCAGAGGAGACCTTTGCCTCAGGCTGGCTTTGACCGCCATCGGTGTAAAAGTCCACCTGTTTGTGTGTGAGTGTGTGTGTGAGTGAGTGAGTGTGTGTGTATGGGGTGGGCACTTCCTACTGTCTGTCATCATGGGTGTCAACACTCACACAGTAAGTCTGGTACAGTGTCAGTAAACGCCTCACACGGTAAGTACAGAGTGGTTTTACAGATTGGTTTACCTAAACGTCTCCGTCAGTAGTGGAAAGATACTCTGAGTACATCTGCCTGGGGCCACCTGACATTAAAATCTGTCAATATGTGGACAGAATGATGAATTGACTTTCCGGTAATGAATGTCTCAAATGTTCCACAGAGTAAAGGACATCTTAAATAGTCCACACAGATCAGTTTCTTCCCCCTCCCTCATTAAATTCCCCTCTTTAAGGGGAGTAAGTTAAGGATTCCTTTGTGGCGTATAACAGAGAAGTCAGAACCCATGATGCAGTCAAAAGGTGTGGTGAGTGGGTGGGGGTGTTTTGGGTGGGCTGCATCCTCCACGACACATTACAGAGCCGTCACAACCACAGAGATGCAGCTGAACTGGTGACAAAATTCTCAGACACATTCTGCGACAGAAAAAGTCAGTTCCTCTTTCAGCTCCAGCTTTTAACCGCAGAAAGTTTCTACTTGACATGACAGAGGAGCTTAATATGTCAGCTCACAGCTCAGTAACTTATGAAAGTTCAAGCCAGATTTTCCACAACTTTCATAGACAGGTACAACTGCAAAAAAAAAACTATAACAGTTTGGTAAAGATTACGACTTTTAGACTCATAAATTACGTTCTAAATAAAGGGTTAAAAATTAGTAACTTTTTCATCCATTATTGATTTTTTTTAGAGCCGTTAATTAAAAACACTTTTGAACAGAATTTTTAAACAGAACGATGCTCGCCGATCTTAAATTATTCACAATGCTACAATATTGGGGAATCATCTGTGATTATAAAATGTGACTCCGTTTTTACTCCGGCCCCCGTAAAATATTGGAAAAAACGTTATATCAAGCCAATAATATGTTTTTATTAACCTCTTATCACTGATCTAACAAACAAGACAACATAATGAATTAACCAATGATTAAGCTTAATTCAAGGTTTAAAAGAAAGCCATGAACTTACTGTCAGCACTTTGTTTTTAATGGATTTGAATTAACCATTTTAATAAATTCAATCTTTTACGCATGTCCTTTTTTTATTGTATTTCAGTGTCTTAGTCATTAAATTACTCTGCAAAAGCATTTGATATAGTCTCATGTCCCATACAAATAATCTTGCTTTGCCTTGCAGTCATCATTTTGGAGAATTGCCTTTGAGTCCTTTAACTCCACGATGTGTTAAAATATGTGAAAGACTTCACAGTGAATCCTGGGATCTAAACCCTTCCTCTGTAGTCCAATAAATGCAGCTGGAGCTCACAAAATATGTCCTTGTAGGGTGTGTCAAAAGAAGCTGTATCGTAAATTCTTCGACACAGTGTTATAAGGTCAGAGGTCACACATCTTCCTTTCACACCCTCTCTGTCTGTTAGCAAGCGGTGCCCATGCCCAAACTGTCCTCCCGTGCAAAAATGGATTTACAGCTTCCTCAATCCTAATTTCACCTCTCCAACTTCCTTAATTTATTTCCCCATGGGGGGCACAGCTTGCTTGACGTCTACCCTGCACACACTCCTCCTCAACACATTGATCCATCACGCTGAATCAGCCTCAAAAGCAGTAATTCAAACTTGATTCTCCTTCTCTGTACTGAACATATCGTGCCCAGACACAGCTGGTTTCCTTTGACTCTTTATCTTGTAAACTCCAGCCTAAACACATAGACACTCCCCACTTCATGCTTAAACAAGCCAGCTGTTTGCATACCTAAGAACACACACGAGGACCACTGCGTCGACTTCTGGGATGAATCACTCTCTGACTCACACGGAGATCATTTTCTATATTATGCTCTATCAAAGAGTTTTAAAAAAGACACTCACCTTCCTAAAGGTTCCCCAATGTCATAGAAATCCTCCACATTCTGTTGCTTGAACACCGCCATGCCAGGCGTCTTCATTGATGTAGTTTATCTCCTGGATATTCACCACCACAGCCTGTCCTCTTCGCTTTCTTCTAGTCCAACCCTGCAGATGCAAAGAGGTGTTCCTGTTCATTTCTGACTGCAGCAGAGAAAATATGAACTGCATGTTCCAGCTCGCTGTAAAGCATTCTTTATCAGAGTACCTACTTTCACCTGCCTGCTGACAAACACCAGACTGTGGCAGACAAAAGGCATAAAAAGTATGTTTTGACTTAATAAGTCAAAATGCTTAGATTTAATTTAAATGTTCCAACTCATACAAGGTTCTAAAACTGTGAAGGGAAGTGCAAGGATGAGAAAATAAAAAAAGAGCATTACTGGTGATTAGGTAAGGATGTTTGAAATGTGCTTCTGTTGTGGAATAATTGATAAGAAAAAGGCTGACATGTGCAGCCGTAGAACATTTTTCTGGCTCTTACTTAATTGTCATAGAAGAGAATATCTTGTATTTTATGGGTACACAGTTACATCAAACAAGATGAGACAAAAACTAAAACTTTCTATCTGGTAGTTTCTTGGCACACTTCAAGCAGCTCCACAAACTGCCAGTAAAGAAACCATCTGCCTCACCTTCTGTCAGACGCTGATCTGATGATCTCAACTTGCATGTGTTGCCACGTCTCCTTCAGCCGCTCTGCTCTCCTCATGTGTCTCCAGCTCGGACATAGAAACTGCTCCTTTAGGCGTCTCTGTTGTTTTCTGACACTTCTGGCAGCACCATCAGGCTTTTGTGTCAGCAGAAGTCCCTCCCCCTCCCCCCTGATGGCTCTATTATGAAACTGCAGCATGAGGGTGGCAGGCTATCAATAAAGATGACAGGCATGTATAGCTGTTTATTCTGAGGCAGGGATTACTACAGCAAGTGTTTTGAGTTTTTCAACACCTGCACATGAGACAGAGCATATTCAGTCAGCCTTTTTTTTTTTATTGAATATAAAGTCTTATAACTGGTATCAGAATAAAAAACTGGGGTACACTTAACGCTGTAAAGCAAAAGCTTAGCACTTTGTCATTAAGATACAAATTAACCGTGAACATGACGATACCACAGAGATTTACATACATGAAAGTGAAGTGCCCTATAATAGTCTGAACTCATCACTTGTGCAATACACTGCTGAAAAGAAAGAGAAAAGTAAATAAAAGATGATACAATGAAGTGTAGCTTATTCAATGTGAAGTTCAGCGAACAAACCAGCCTCAGAAAAGAAGTCGTGGTTTGAGATAAGACATTGAATGAGCCTTTTCAGAGTGAGATAAAAGAAAAATCTGATCATGCTTAAAAGTTTGGTTTTCTAGAGAGACCTGCTCTCTTACAAAAAATACAGCAAAATGTGTTTTCAATTCTACAGGTTGTTTTTTTTAAATTCACATTTCTATCATGAAATCAACCACAATCAGTGGTGTAGTGCAGGGTATGCGGAGTGTACCCACGTTTTTTTCAGTCTCCATAGGGTAAACCCACTCCTAAATGATTTACTCCATTGACTGATTGACAATATTAAATATAATGCTGCAATTTTTTCCCCGATAGTGAAGGAATGACTCTCCCTACTCCGTCTCTAATTGGCTAGTAAACACAAACTAAATATGTCGGAGTAGTCTGTAACCGTTCATAACAGAGGCCGTTTATCCTCTCCAAAACATTTGGGGGGGGGGGAATTAAGAGTATACCCACTTCTTGAGGCACCACTACACTAGTGACCACATTGCATTTCTGCCATTTGTTCATAGGCTCAATGTTTGGGATGAGGCATTGACATTTCTGTAGCAAAGAAAAAAGGTCATCAATTTGGTTTCTTATGGAAAAAAAACAAATCTGTAAACAGCAAAAAGAGTAACATGAAAGTACAAGGAATTCAAAGTTACAGCACAGAGTAAACATCTAATCAGCATAAAAGAGAAGGTAAAAAAAAAAAACATGTTCACCTGTAGAAGACTCCTGCTGAATAAACAGTCTGTTCTTTTAAATGCTAGAAAAAGTTCATTGAGTGAAATAAGGAATGTGTCATATAGATTAGAAGTACCTGGATGCAGAAAATAGAAATATGTCTATTGCTGTATGTCCCTACACGTGTCCGGTAATCTCCTGAAGTACGACTCATATCTCTGTATTTGCCAAACAATCATAAACATAGCCTCTTTTTATCTCCAAAACTTTTAAATCACCCAGCGTGAAATGTACCTATGAACTAGTGTGAACACTGCAAGAACAATGTAACACTGCCCCCCCTAGGACAATAACTGCAAATACACCATAAAGAACAGTTATAGACCGGAAAAATTCATCTTTTCATCACCTTCAAGAAAATTCAACATGAGTAAAAGATGAACTAAATATTTAACTTCAGAGCAGAAGTCCTTTGAAGGGCTCTATTCAATTATTCTTGTAACCATCTCCAGTGATTGTAGAAATAAAGATGCAGAACTTCTTTTAGATAAATGTTTTTGGGAGAATTTAAGTAAAAAGTGGTACTTCAGTATAGAAAACAAACTCTTGCCAAACAAGGTCAGATTCACTGGAAGAATCCAAACTGTCTGACACGGTGACTCAACGTATTTCAATTGAATTCGAAGACACAAAATACATCCAAGAAAACTCCATTTAAATGTGATTATATGAGTAGATTCTATTTTTTGGTTTTAAGATTTCATGGTCAATCTTTGAACCACAAACACCTGAAGGATGGAGTGACAAGTACAAACTGTGAACGTCTTCATGAGACGGCTCTCAAGACTTAAACTGGGAGTTCAGCGTAAAGTGGATCTTAGCAGAAATGTTTCAAGTGCATCAAGAGACTCAGGGAGCAAAAACAATGAAGTGTGTAGTTAAGGGGCAAACCAATAAAAAAAAAACATAGATTAAGGTTAACTATTTAAAGACTTTTGAGAAAGGAACTGTAGGCATATAAAGAAAACAAATCTGAATCATAGTGAAAAGAGTAAAAAAATAAAATCATTCCTTCAGACATTAAATCGCCAGCTTTTGAAAACAAATCACAGCCATGTTTAAAATACTGAATCGGACCGCTGCTTTGATCTGCAGGTTGAAGCGCATACTGTTTTGGCTGTCACAGAAACACATAAGCATACAACAAAGAAGCATTTACAAAACAAAGGCAGGAATACTGATAGAAAGCCTGTTCGGCTTGTGATGTTTTTGGTCTTTTCATAAGATATGAATCCAAAGTGATATAGAAAAGTCGATTGTTCCAGCTCTGATTCTCAGACAAACTCCAAAGATCCTTCCTGAAAAAAAAAAAGTCTTACAGTTTTACAGCTTGAACACATCGCTCTCGCTTTCCTCACATTCAGACCAGAACATTGGAAAAAAAGCTTGAGGTCAGTTATCTTCCTCGTCGTCACTGACAAAGCTCCGCCCGTCCTGACGCGTCTCTCTCTCCCTGAGGAACGTCTGCCTGATGGCCTCCAGCTCGGTCAGCTCCAGGCGGACTTTCTCCAGGTGGAAGGAGCGGCGGTTCTGGATTTGCCGCAAGGGGAAAGGGTTCATGTCAACAAAAGCCATGCTCATCAGTTTCCTGCAAAAGAGGAAAAAAAGAGAAAAGTATATGTAAGGAGATGTGGTCCTGCTCCAAGGTTAACTGAGACACACAACGGCTCTCAGAAATGTTAGCAATCACTATACCTGGAATCCAGGATTGTGCGTGTGAAGTATCTCAGATACTTAAAGATGGCCGTGGAATCTTGCAGCTTCAAAAACTCTTCTTCTTTGTACTTGAACAGAGCGAGGGCGACGCGAAAAATTATCTGTGGAGAAGAAAATAGCAAATCTATGACATCTGTCTCATGAATGTGTGACCGTTTATATTAATATAACACTCATCCCTGGACATGCAACTCCTCTTTAGAAGACTGAAAGCTGTATTTGTTACTTTTAGAGGAACGTGTAGACATCAATGTTAACTCTGAACACATGGCACTGTTCATTGGCTTTTTATGTTAAAAAAAAAATGCCATTGAATAAAACTGAATCCACCTCAGACCTCTCAAAGGGGTCTACATCTTCAAAGTGGCTGTGATTTGTATCTTTCACATCATAAATGGATCACATCATCACACATTTTATGGAATAGTATTAACTGGGATTGTTAAAGCCACAGCAAATCCTGACTGTGCAGATCCCCTCAGCCCTTAAAGCATGAATACATCTTTTTCACTTATAGTTTTGGTTTCCCCACACAACTTCACCATTTTGTTCAGCTGTCATATTTTGTTTTTGTACATATAGGAAACACACAAAGCTTCCATTCAGACCAACTAAACTAAAAAAGTGAAGTAGAGTTTATAGACTCGCAGGAAAAAAAAACGCTGACGCAATTGTGGCCCAAATTTAAGTGACTAAATTAATGCCTATTTTTCTTGTATATCACATTGCAACAACAAGTTAAGAAAAAACATATTTATAAGCTTGAAATTGTTGCTTTTAAAGGCTTGTTGCCACATAGCTGTTTGTGACCCCAAGTGGTCACAAACAGCTATTGCAGGTTTAATTCTTCTGCTTCTAGATGTTTAGCTGTGTGGGTAATTCTGAGTAGACAGCCTTTGTTTTTACTTGTATGCTTAAAAACAGCTGACCACTGCTACTGAAAATGAGGTTTATCACAACAAGATGTTTTATGTGACACCAAAACAACAAGCTAAACGTGGCTAAAAGATCTGCAGATCTAATGAACATCAACAGAGGCATTTTTTTTATTCATGTCAAAACACATTTTGTAACTCTACCTGAGGTCTGAAGAAATCTAAACAAATACATTCAATACATTTATTAAAAAAAAGTAGCTAGACATCTCATCTGTATATGCAGGCTAATCTAAAGTTTTAAACACATCAAATCAAATGTCTCGAATTTACAAATGTATGCTCATCTCATTTTTGGAGTTTCCTTTAGAACTTATCAAAACTTTAAGAACACAAACATAAGTATACAAGATTAAAGGATGACAGTTTCCTTCTCTCTTACCTTTGGACCTTCGTACAGAAAGGCGTCCCAGATCTTGAAGAGGATGTCGCTCACCACACTATCCACAAACACCACCAGAAACCAGTTGAATGTGATGAGGGAGAAGTCCACCTTGTACTGCTCAAAGTGGGCATGAAGCCGGGGGAGCTTCTCACTCATCAGGTCCTTGAACACACGCTGATCGACCTAAACAAAAACACAAACAACATGTGATTATTTTCCAGACTGTGAGAGAGATTTCACCTCCACAGCGGGTGAAAACAGGGAGAAGGAATCCAGCAGAGAGGAGGAAAGCAAACAGCAGCATTCCTTTCACCATCAGTCATGGGCGGCAGCAGCAGTACCCACATGAACATAACATCACTGACACCTCAGAAAACCCCGGTCAGGACGCTGAAACCTACCCCCCCCCAAAATTTATAGTGAAACCATTTTTGTTTTTACCTGTGAGCCAAGCAGAGTCTTGGTGTAATAGTCTCTTGGCATGAAGACCTCCACGATGGCTATGAGGCACCAGAAGGCGTCTTCTTGGTCCAGATAGAGCAAGGCAATAGCCGCCAGCCTGAAGGAATCACATGCAAACAAAAAGAAGGTGTTAAAATGCATAAAAAGTAGAGAAGGAGATGGAGATGAACCACGACCCGTCCTGTACCTGTTGAGCCCTTGGCAGTAGCCGATATCTGGATTCCTCCAGGAGAACGCCATCAGGACGTTCCTGAGTTTCTGGATGCCC